AAACACAAGAGTTGGTCTGTAACTTGCTGATCATTGCTCTGTAACCTGAAAATGGTATAGCGTTACATGAGTACCTATGCACTTGCCAAAGTTCATCCAATAGGCCATGTAAAACTGTTGCATCTCACTCCAAGTCAATTTTAAGCCAAAGAAAAAGAGCAATAAATAAATATTAAACTTTACGCTAATTATAAGCATGTGGTTTTCAGGGAAGTGCTATATATTAAGATGTATAATTTACTTTTAAAGTATCAAAAACTAAGATGGATTGACAGATACACAAAAATACAAAATAACAAACCTAACAACTATAGACCCTATAACTTGTATAGGGCATTAAGAATTAACTGTATATCCTTTCAAACTTGTTTGAAAGTTTTAATAGTAAATGTTAGGCATTGGGTGATTCAATAAGAAGCCAATGACCATGTTTGAGCAAAGAAATAAAAATCAAATTTACATTATACAAATAGGGTTCATCTAATGTGAACAATACACTGAAAGGTGGGCAGAGAGTGGTGAAAGGTAGTAGGTAGCTATTTCATGACATGCAAAGAAAGCATCAATATTTAAAGTAAACGCGGAGAGAATGTAAGCCAGAACAAGTAGTTTTGAATTGGTATGGATAAATTCAGAGGAAACAAATGAAGATCGTGGGACTCATGACGACCTAGATGAGATGATGATAACTGGAGAGAAGCATAAAAGCCAGCAATACTTTTTAAAATGGAAAATGAAAGCAAATGACTACACCTAAAATAGCGCCACACTGCATTTTCTCTTATCCACAACATATACTGAGTGAAGAAATCTGCAGGTGGGCTGGACGGCCCCATTCTTGCTGAGTGTGTCATCTCCAAAGCTTTCCGTTTCCTAATACTGAACTATTTTGTGTATAAAATACATAGACGACAGAAAAGATTGAGACAACCACACCACCTACCCGCCCTCACTGAGTTCAACCAGCATGTTCGTTGGCTACAAAGTTTGTTGCTTGCTTTTTAAAAAACAAAACAAAGCAGTGTCACACCCTTGGCTCAGAGTTCCCCGAGTTCCTCAGCTGTGACACATACCTACTCCTCCTGGCCCTCTGGGAAATGGCAACAAGGAAAGCCCAGTCAAATGTGCTGACGTTCACACTGCTGCTCGTTTGTGCCATGAAGAGTACTACTTATCTGTGACTTTGGAGTCTCCTGTTTGCTACCAGCAACCTTGAAACATGAACAGATCAACTTAATAATTTGAAAATAGAGTACTTACCATCTACCATCCTATTATATGTTTTACATATGTTACAGTATTTACTTCTCATAATAATCCTAATAAGGTAGCACTACTATGAGGAAACAGATTTCAAGATGCTAAGTGATTAAGACACCTCAAGAACTGTAAACAGCACAACCTAAATTTAAGCTCAGATGACTTTAAAACCTGCTTTGTGCTGGGAGTGGTGGCACACACCCCTCTTCCCAGGATTTGGAAGACTAAAGCAGGAGGACTGCAAATTCCAGGCAAAGCTAAGCTACTACATAGCAAGTTAAAGGTCAACTTGGACTAAGTAGCAAGATCTGTGCCTCAAACACACCAAAACCAAAAGCCTGTTTTGTTTATATGGTGCTGTGGATCAAAGCAAGGACCTCGCACATTTAGACATACTCGAAGCACTCGACCCAAGGTATATGCGCCCTGCCCCAAAGTCTATTTCTGATCATTACTCGTCTAGTTTCCGTCTCAGATAATGTATCAATGACAATTTTCATTCTCCATATACAAAAGCAAAATGTTCATATCTTCACAGTATGACTGTCAAAAGTTAGGTTCCACAAAACAGTACTTTGCAAATGTTGATATAATCTTAAAACACACACACACACACACACACACACACACCCCTATGGTCAAAAATTGGGAGGAACTAGTATAAACAAATCTAAACCATTGTCGTTACTACAAAATTTTTTATCTCAATATACTAGTATGTATCATAAGTCTTCCAGAAACATCTTTTATCACCATTGTAGAACACAGTTTGGGAAATTGCTATTACAATGAATATTCTCAATTTAAACTGTACATAGAACACCTTTTTAACCTTAGCTGGCTTGGTGTAGGCACAGGACACTTTAAAATGGAGAACATCCAAGTTAGAATGTGGTGTAAGAGCTTGCAAGCCAAGTTAACTACTTAATACTTCGGCAATATTGCTCTTTTCCTACTCGCCACAACTTAATTTACCATAACACAATGAAACTATATATTATGCCTAATATTTTCCAAATTTAGAATAACAACCAAGAGATTATATGGTTCTACATTGTTACCTACTGCTCAGCTTTGCAAAATTTGAATCTCCTCCAAAGAAGAGACCTCAGAAAAAGCAGGCTCTAGATAAAGCTTGTCAGCTGGTTAATAAGTTATTCTGATGGTTCTGGGCCACACTGCTGACTCTCCAGTGTGGAGCAATGATTCAACTCTAATGCCAGATGTGGTGGTGCACACCTGTAATTCTAGTACTCGGGAGGTTGAGGCAGGAGGTTCACTGCAGGTTCAAGGCCAGCCTGCGTTACAAACTGAGTTCAAGGCCAGCTTGAATTGCACATCAAAATCTTATCTCAAAAAGACACACACACATAAAAAGTAATAAAGTATACCTGCCTATCTCCTTAGTTACCTTAATTTAACACTCCACAACCAAAGTTATTTATTGCTCCAGTTTATTTATTCCAGTTTAAACAAAATAAAACTGAGCAAAAGGCAGTCACAAACAGTTGACTTCATCATATAAGTCAGGGTTGCTGATGGTTATCTAGTTACAAAGTCTACACAAAACTTAAATGCAGGACTGGGGAGATAGCTCAGTAAAATAAACACTTGCCTGGCAAGCACAAGGTCCTGAGTTCAATCCCCAGTACAGGAAAAAAAAAAAAAAAAAAAAAAAAAAACCACCTTAAATGCAGCTGCTTCTATAGCATACAGTTATTAATCAAGCCATTTTCAACACAACCAAGTTATTCTGGATACATAAAAATTACTGTGATTAGACACTACAAAAATTAAAATACATATTTTTAACTTGCTAACCTTCTCTAATGTTTTGTCTTACAAGAAAAACAAATTGATACTCTACCTAAAAAGCAAGATTTTAGAATGTCTGATTTTAACCTGTGCTCTCATGGAATGCCTCCATACAAAGTTCATTCAGGGCATGGCTTTAGTTGGGAGACTGGGGATAAAATATAAATATTGTTCACTTATTTAAATGTTGTAGACAAAAAAGTCCCAAAACTGAAAAGAGCAAATTTCAACATTCAGGCAGCAAGTTTTTTGAACAATAGTAAGTCACAACTAGTTACATCAACTTAAAGCAAATATGACAATAAAATAAAGTTTTTAAGATATAACTACCTTAGTTAAAAATGTATTGAATAAGGATCTGTAGATGAAAACATGGCTGATTCCAGTAAGTCAAAAGACATAAAGAGAAAAAATTAATCACTAAGCCACAGTGTGAAAGAGAAAGGATGCATATCAGCTCCTGCCATTAGGAAAAACAAGTAACAGGAAGCATTAGGAAAAAAAAAAAAAAGCATCACTGCTAATATTATCCAGCATTTATCTATTGCATTTTATTTTTGCTAACATTTACAAAACCAAGAATGACTTTTTAAGAAATAAACCACAAGTGTACATAACGACATCCTGAAAAACATCTTCTACATTGGTGGCAATATTTTTTAAGCCGTTCTGAAAATAGTGATCATATACTTAGAGCAGTGATGGCAAACCTTTAGACTCAGTGCCCACGCTTGCTGCCCAAAACCCACTTACTTATCACAAAGTGCTGACACTGCCATTTAACCTGAATTCTGAGTTTTAGTTCAGGAAAACTCATATATTAACATCTTTATCTTAAAAGAAAAGCACAATAACACGCCATGCCCTTGGAAAAAACGAAAAATCACATAGACTGGGATCTCGTTTTTCACTACTCTGCACAGTTGTCAAAATGCACTTAATAGAAATTCTTAATTCACATTATGTGCAAAAAATTACAGGAAATATGTGAAATCTGAGACTTTCATATTTAACTTGGGACATTTTTCCTCACTCTGAACTGCACCTTCAGCCGTACGTGTTTTTCTCCTCTCTCTCTCGGGTTTAACTAAATTATCACCTGAAAGTTTACATATTAACATACTATCCAGCTGTAAGAGAACAGCCAATTACGTGGACTCCATTTTAAAATAAGGCCTTTAGCAGAATCTCCAACGACACCATCAGAATACAAGAAAAATATAAAAGAAAAACTGACAAAGAACATACAGAATACATTTCACTCATTTAAACAAGAGATTTATATGATTATGCTGTAAAACCTATTTAAATGAAAACTAATTCTTCAAGTGAGAGCAAAGTTTTTCCTAATAAAAAAACCTCTTACCCTCCTGCTAAGTATACATATGTGTATTACAGATAGACAGATGACAAAAGGATACAATCACTTTAACCACTAACATAATGAAAAAGGACAAAACGACAAGGTTAACTAGATTGGAGGCACGCTCGGCAGCACCGCAGCTATTCCCCACATCCCGCAATCCCTCACCCTCACTGCCCCAGATCGCCCCCGGCCGCCCTGCGCTTCCACCCGGCCCATCTTTGATGGCAATCGCCCCCGACAGGTATGTGAACTTCGCCTCCTCTGCAGTACAAAACAGACCAAAATGTCTCGGGGCGCTGCGTCATGAAATAAATGATAAGGCGAGACACACGATCTAAGTAAGTTGTAAGGTGGGGAGAGGGTGTTTTGCGCCGAGGGCACGCGGCGCGACTGGGGCTCGGAGGAGACGGCCGGAGGTCGGCGCGGGGTCGGGGCAGCGGTCGGACTGAGCTCCGAGGCGAGGAGGCTGAAGGAGCAACAGCGCGCTCGCCTCCTCGGGAACGCGCCGAGGACCGCGACGCGACGCGGGCCCGGGAGGCGCGCAAGGCCGGGCACTCACCACCTGGTAGCGGCCGGTCCCGGGCTGGTGATGATCCATCCTGCCCGGCTGGGGATCCGGCGACGGCGCGGGCACGTCGCCTCGGCGCTCGGCGGCCTCGGCCTCCCGGGTCGGCGACGACGCAGCCTCGGCCGCAGCGCCCCTTCCGCCTCGCTTTCTGCCGCCGCGGTCGCCCGGCGGGGCCGCTTCACTTCCTGT